CCCCCCTTTATTCGATACCTTAGAGTAGAATATCATCACACAGAGGAAAAAACCTCTCCAAACTTGATTCAATAGCAGCGTCATGTTATTTCTCCTTTTTTTCTTGGCTGTGTAGTGGATGTGTCTACGTACAACAAGCTTCTGAGTTTGGCCTCCCTAGATGCTGCCTCCATGGATGAGATCACACAAACTCTTGAGGTATAGACTCCAATGCGAGTAGTATAGTAGCAATACGCACTTCTCTTAGATATGATTTCGTGGGTATAACTATTTGTGTTATTTTTGTAGTGATGGGGAGTAACTGCTAACAGTTATTTATCTGGCAAAGGATGGGGATTAGTGTAAGAAATTCATGTGCCTGAGATTTTTTTTGTGTTAATTAAACAGTGATAAGACCAAAGAGGATACATAAAGCAAGTGAATAAGTTTGAGACAAGGAGAGTTATGAAGAGGTTACTGCGTTAAGAGTCAACCATATTTATAGCAAAAAGTTGAGAATTAGGAAGTAATTATTGAAATGGTGCATTGTCCTTTCTTAAAGAATAAAATATATAACATTTTTGAGATGCTAACTGTAATAGGGCAGTCATTTGTTTTATAAGTTTCATTATTAAGTTGCATTTTCATACATATTTTAGAATAATGAAAACAGTATGGCCATTCATATTTTGGTAGTATGGTAAGGGATAGGAATGTTATTTGTTGTGCGTTTGTAAGGTCAAAATTGAAATTAAAAAATTGTAAAGAACTTTGCCATGTTTTAAAACTTTGGGGTGATGAAAAGTAAGATTTCCATTCTATCAAAAGACCATTTGGTAGAAATTATGTTGATATGTTTAAAGCTTCTTAAACTGACCCCAGGTATATCTCTATTTCAAACTGTGGGCAAATAGTAACAGAAGTTGTTCCTCTCAGGTTTTTGTATTGTTCAAAAAGGAAAAAATTGTCTTCTTGTGAATGCCAAACTTTACTCGTCTGCTGTCAATGTTTCTCAACTAACCATCAGCTTTTTTTATTTTGAATTTTATGATTTCCATGTTTCTTTATCTCAGTCTTTGTCACATTGTGTCGTTTTTTTTTTGTTTTTTTTAATTTCTTTTGATTAAATGTCACGTGAACTTCTATGCTTGCATGTATGAGTGCCATATTTTTTATATGCGACGTCTCTGCCTTGGTACCTTCCATCTTCCTTCCTCTTTATTTTCACCACTGGTTCAAGCGATGGACATTTATATGGTTCATTTGTATTTTGCAGGACGTACAAAAACAAACAACAGGCCTAATATACTTCTTGCTTCATGTATGCCTGATTAACATTTATTAGTCTAGTAAGTACCCAACTCAGCTCAATGTTCCTCTGATTGTCCTCGCAGTCTATTCTTCAAGATATGAAGGCAGCTGGTGTACAACCTAATGTGGGAACATTTAACTGTGCCTTGTCAAACTGCAGACGCATCTCTAAATGGACAGGAGCTAGAAAGTATGCTCTGTCCCTTGTAGCAGAGATGAAAGCTTGTGGACTGGGTAAGATGTGTAAATGTGTTAGTGCAAACTTTTATTCTGTTTGAAATATTTGCACTTATATGATATAATAGGGATATCTCTCAAATAGTAAATTGTACATTTTTTAAAGGTTTCTGGTACTCTTTTTGTTTAAAAATAAAATTGATTGGGGGAAAAAAAGAATAAACTGTTGAGGGGGGGGGTTTGTCCTTGACACTTTAGGAAAAAAAGGAAGGGTTGAGGAATGTTGGTATATTTTTGGCTTCAAACTTCATTTTGTATTTATCAGAGTCCCACTTTGATGCTGCGCATGCCCTATTCCGAAATTACTATTCGCTAAAGTGACTGGGTTCTAAAATCATTATTTTCATCTCGTACAATTTGTAATTAAATATTACTTAATGTAAAAGCTTTATTTGTATGCTCCTTGACTTCTATTTGAGTTTTTTGTACATTAAATTTTTTCTTCTCCACAGAACCAGAGCTGTCAACATTTTATGAGTTGATGCACATATTCTACTATGTCAGAGGTACTTATCGTTCTTAAGAAAAGTTGATATCTGCACTCTGTCGTTAATTGATGCATGTTTGTTTTCATGTCTCTTTGGCATACCATATGTATCTGACTGATAAATGTAGTGTACTGATTGCTGTAGGAGAGGAAATAATGTTAGCATCCTTTGCACAGTGGAGACAAGTAAACCTAAAACTGCTGGACCACTGGATTTTCTTCCATTTAGCCTTGTTTTCAGTTTAGAGAGCTTGCTCAAACTGCAATTTTCGTCGACAGCATAGACTTGAAAGTGCCATGCTTGCAGCACATTTCAATTTTTTAATAGTTATTTGTTTTCTGCTTTCATTAACTCCTATTTGAGCTGTACACTGTACGCAGTGACCTTTCTCTTCAACATCGTCAGCCGGGTTAATCTGCCAAACAGTCACACATAGTAGGAAAAAAAAGTAGCTCAGCACACTGCGCAACTCACTGTACTGTGCTCTGCACAAAGTTAAAGAAGTAAACAAGATAAATGCCACTGACTTTATAAAAAACATCATGTGCCATCACATGCTCATGCGGAGGGCTTTTGTGAACTAGCTTGGCAGAAACAACAATATAGGCTAAGGCCATGACCAATCAAAGATTACGTGAAAGGCATACACTTGCTATCCTTGTGTCACGACACAATTTGTAGTGTGATAAACATAGGTCAGCAATACTCCTGCAATTAACACACATGTGCATTCTTGTCTCTTTCTTCTGTTTCTCTATCTGGAAATGCATAAGACTTGATAATTTGCATTATTTGAGGGTTGCTAGTTTAGATTTAGACAGCATAGCCCTCTAAATTTTTTTTGAATTAGAAATAGGAGCATTTTGGCAAATCAGTGGTTTTCTTACAAAGACAGAGAAGGAAAAAAATGGGGTATTCTGTTTTCTTTCGGTTTACCCCTATTTCCGGATTAACCATGTTTGGTTTAACTAAGCGAACTCCCCTGTATATTGTTTCATCTTGAAATGCTTTACTTCCTGTACCTATTTTTATTCCTGTGCTCTTCATCTCAAGGTTGTTGGGTTTTTTTATACAAGATAACTTTACTGTATAGATATATTTTCTCTTCATATGTATGTCTTTCTTTTTTGGGGGTTTGATGTTGGCGAATGCGTACAAATTTGTAGTGTGCTGTGCACATCATTTGTTTTCTACCTTTGTCTCACAGACAAATCCTCCAAAACTCCAGAGCTGTTTGAGAACATCCTGGACTACATGGATGGCAAGGAGTACACCCTCAGTTCAGAAAATGATGGTTAGTTGTGGTCAGTCATATAATCCCCCTCAGCCGAGTGTTATGGAAGTGCAACTGATGTTGTTCTTGAACTTTATGAAAAAAAAACTCACCCCCCTTCTCTCTCTCTCTCTCTC